TTATACTAGTAAGAATGCAATTGCAGCGATCTCTAATTCAATTGCAGAGCTCTCTAATTGAATTGTTACTAGTAAGAATTGTATTAAAGAGCTCTCTAACTGTAATTCTTACTAGTAAGAATGTAGCTGTAGAGCTGTCGAATTGCATTCTTACTAGTAAAAATGTAATTGTAGAGCTCTACAATAGCGATTCTTACTAGTAAGAATTGCATTGTAGAGCTCTCTTTTCAGCGCGACCTCATTATGATAATTGCGCCTCATGCATATTAATAAAACGGGTGACTGTCTGTTCCAATAGCCTTGTGGGCAGTCCGTCGATAACACCGTTGCGCTACGGGTATCCTGAGTTTGAATCCCGGGTCGTGGATCCTTCTGATCCCACACCCCTCCCCCCAATTCACTTATACTGTCCTATTGGAATAAAGGCAAAAATGCCAAAAATAAATCTTAAAAAAAGAAAATGGGGACTCAAGCAGCTTGTTCAGTCAAGCAGCTTTTAATGATGAATAGCAGCGCTGAGGCTCTAATGATCTATTAAGTATTATTATATATTGATTAAAATCATTATAAAATGATTATGCTTTACAGAGAAGAAATATAGGTAGTCTATGTAGCTACTGTAAGTTATTTTTAATATATATATATTATTATATTATATTATTGTTATTTTAAAATAAGATTTGAAAATAAGCTGTTTTACCAAAGTAACTTATTTGTTTGAGATTCAGTCATACACTACGCATCCCTCTAGTGAACTCGAATCTGCCGTACATTACATAACACATCTTTCACTTTTTCTATAGGGCCATTGCTCAAAATAGAAATGCTTTGATGAAAATGGGTATCACTCATGTCTTAAATGCTGCCCATTCCAAGCAAGGCAGCATTGGTGACCAGAGTTATTACGGCAATACAATTGTGTATTATGGCATCCCAGCAGAAGACTCTTCATCATTTGATCTTAGTGTGTACTTTAAACTGGCGGCTGATTTCATCCACAAAGCCTTGAGGAAGAAGAACGGTAAGTGACCACAGTCAATTATATTAATGTAATGCTAAAATACAAATGGGAATCTAAATGCATTGGGGAGAATTCTGAAGTCCACTCTGAAACTACAACACTGATTCGTATAAATAGTCAATAAGTATTTTTACAACTAACCCATATGACACCAAAACCATCAGTGTTTACATGGTTTGAACAAAAATTGTTGTGTTATGCAACAAATAGTTTTGTTTTACATTATTTAGAAAAAAAAGAAAAGAAACTCATTCTGTTGTAGTTACTTCTGTTATACTCTAAAAAAAATGTCCTCTTTATCTTTCAATTTCCCTCTAAACCTGATAAACAGCTCATGTTGAAAATTAATTATAATAGAGATATCCATATTTCAGAAAAATGAAATGGTTCAGTACTAACAGCTTCTGACAATTACGGTGTCTTTTATCCATAGGAAAAGTGCTTGTTCATTGCATCATGGGAATGAGTCGGTCTGCCACACTGGTTCTAGCATACCTTATGCTGCGTCAGCGTCTTACTCTCCCTACTGCCATCCAAACAGTTGTACTGCGACGAGCAGTCTATCCTAACAGGAACTTTTTGAGCCTTCTCCTGGATTTGGACATTCAGCTACATAGAAAGCGAATGCTGTGTCCTATTCTCTGACAGAAAAACACATATGTCATGAACACAGATACACATGCATTTATTTTATATAACTAAAGGGTGAGGAGGTATGTATATATATATATACAGTATATATATATATATATACTGTATATAGTTTCATAGTAAAACTTGTGCCTTTCAGGTTTAGTGTATGTATAGACCATCTTTGTACTTTTCCATACATTTACAAGGTTATTAAATAGTTTAGCTATAAAACACTTTAATATTGAATGAAAGCTTTAATATTTTAACTTAATTGACATCTGACATGTTTTCAGTCATATTAACATGGGTGACTTTAATGTACAATGTAGTGTAAATAAAGTAAATGAGAATGTTTCTTTTTTATGAAAGTCTATATGATATATTCAGTTTGCAGCTCTATGAACCACAGCACACAAGTGCCACATGCTCCTCACACTGTAAATAATATTTAACAGTGGGGTCAGTATTCAGCGTAGAATACCAAATTAAGCAGTATTAAATGATTGAATTGTGGTTTATTATTCAGCTGCAGAGAAAACCCTCACTGTGAGCAGTATTAGCTTTTACATTGCTTTTGGCAGCCACATTTGGAGAAATATGCAGGCCAAGCACAACACTCTTCTGTTGACTCAATCCTAAAAGCCTTGTTTAAATGACTGAGCAGCATTCGCTGATGTGATTTTAATGCACCTTTTTGTTTTAATAGCAGAATAATGTGTTTCATTCAGCTCATTGATTCACAGAAGTTCCTTTGTTATCTTGGAGAATATTTAATGGTGTATAAATGCACAGTTTTGTTAAATGCACTGTATACTTACATTTAATTGCACATTAGACTCAATTGACTATGAGCAGGATGAATATTGAATTTATTACACTGTTAGATATATCTGCCTACGTTAAGTATTTTTGAAAGTTTAATAACTGCACTAGTGGATTTACATTCAGATGTTTCATACAAACAAGGTGCCAAATAAACTGAATATTCATATGTATGTGTTCAAATAAAAAAATGTGAAAGTTCTTTGGTTTTTGGTGTGGTTTTTTTCCTTGTATTCTCATAATAGTTGTGAACAAACTAAATGCAATTTCTAAAATAAAATAAAAATGTTTTATGATATGTAATATATTTCTATTGATTTATCTCACTTTCAGATAGATACTCTATGAAAAGCGACATGCTCCTCCCACTGCAAATAATAGAACTAAATGCATGTGTCAGTTATAAACTGTAAATGACCCTGTCTAAAGTACAACATTATTCATGTAGTTTTGCTTTATTTTCCCTTGTGCTTCTGGCTGTTTCCAACAGGGCGCAGTGCTGTGCCATGAAATGTTTGCAAATAAGGGTTTCTTCCAACAGTGTAATTAGATTAATTAAAATCTTGCTGTTTTTTATGCTTAGTATCCTTCCATAATATTTTTCTTCTTCTTTTCATCTGATATCCTTCATATGCTACATTAACACATCCACATTCAAAGAAAATGACATTGTCAATGACATTTCATTATGCAGATGTACTTGTACGACCCCATAACCCAACCTACCAAAACTGTAACAGCATTAACTGGACGAGCCAGCATGACCTGCAGCTGTGCAGTCAGAGGAAGCAGGACCAACACGAGTCCCCGGACACACATTGCTTTCAGAGAACATTCAATTAAGACACTACTCTGCTTCCTGATTAGCTGCTTGGCATACACTGTACAATGATAAATCATGGAAGCAGTTGAGAAGAGAAACAGAGAACAGATGCAAGCAGCTATGCCAAAGTGTGTGTATATATTTTCAGCTAAGCTAAGTCATCTCCTGATCTGACTGTGGAAGAACCAGAGGCACAGAGGGGGTGACGTTGATGACCACATTAGTGTCACACAAGTGCTCTGGAAAGCAGATGCATCTGTACATGATTACATCGTGTCAGTGTTTTCTCAGGGAAAACTGTCAAGCCTAAGATATCATAGATAAAAAGAACAAACAAACAAATCAGCCCAGCAGCAACATATATTTTGGCTAAAACAAACTGCTTTAAAGAAATAGCAATAGTAAAGCATAGCTAAATACATATTCAACTTTTTATATGCTTTTGAAAAAAGTATGTTATGCTCGACAAGTCTGCATTTATTTGATCAAAACATACAGTAAAACAGTTTAATAGTGAAACACTATTACAAATGAAACTGTTTTCTATTTTAATACATTTTACAATGTAATTTATTCCTGTGATGGCAAAGCTGAATGTTCAGCAATCATTACTGCAGTCTTCAGTGTCACATGATCCTTCAGAAATCATTCTCATATGCTGATTTGGTGCTCAAGAATCATTTCTTGTTATTATCAATGTTGAAAACAGTTGCTGTCTAATATTTTTGGGGAAACTGATACAATTTTATTTGAAATGGAAACTGTAACATTCTAAGTCCTTATGGTCATTTTTTAAAATCAATTTATGCATCCTTCCTTCCAAACGTTTAAACAGTAGAGTATATGTTATTGTATGACTATTTACTTTGAATTCAGGAAGTCTCCATGACTTTAAAAACCACAAAAGAAAAGCAGTCTGAATGATTCTTGGATCGGATCTACCACGGTAATTTGAAATTGGCAAATTTGGACCACTCAATACAAATTACATACGTTGCTTTTCCAAATAAACATTAAAGAAAGCCAAGCTTAGTCATTATAATGCACTTCAGTGTATTCTTTGATTCACCAGGACAAGGACTTTAAAAAAGAAACAGAAAAGTCTATTAAATTCCATGAAACATACTATGTGTTTTTGTGATTCTTCTGATACAGTATGAGGTTTCAATAATAGTAAGTAATAATCACCTCTTGAGGAAGAACAGGTGTATGTGGCTTTCACACCCAGGCCTTTAATTCCTTTTTATTAGCTTCATAAAACCATAATTACTACGGGGCTCAAAACCTATTTTACCGGCATGGAAAGAACAACTCGTAGTTAAGTCTTTTCCTGTTTTACACATATAACCTAATTTACTGAAGCATTTGAGCACTAACTAAACAGTTTCAGCTGGAGTGCAAAGAAGACAGCGTATCTTTGAGAGGGATATCTGATACGCTCCAATTACGAACATGTCACTGCACTTGCATGTGCAAAGATCTCACCATTTATCAAAGACTCGCCCTCAAGGCAAATGAAAGGAACATCTGGATTTCAAGAGTGTTTAACCTAGCAGCTGGCGAGACCTCATGAGATGTCTATTTCCCTGCACAATGACTCATGATAAAGATGCATGCGTGCAATGAAAGCCGCTGATGACCCACCTTTACCTTCGTCTGCACTGCAAGAGTGATTTACTATATTGGGAGTCTAGCCAAGATATACACAATATGTGCAGAACATGCTCAAAAGATCATTGTCTAGGGAAAGACAGTCTTCTAAAAGCAAACCTGACTGCCCACTAAGACCTGGAAGAGCTCTTTGTATCCAGGGAGGTTTATAATTATACACCATTTAAAAAAAGAAACAGCCTCCAGAGACATATCTGTGGACTGGCTGTCGACAACGTCCCTGACCAAGGAGAGAAGTGCAGGCAATCTGAGAACGAGGGAAAAAAAGGGCCACCGGCTGCAAAATGTAAGTTCACAAAAGATTTTAGAGGCTTTTAGAAAGTAACATTTTGGTGTTTTGGAGAGCTATTACGGAAGCTAACCTCACTGAATCACACGGCTCTGTCGTCGCACGTTTTCTTTCCCACACCTGAGCTGTAAACACATTTGCCACAAGAGTCAAGAAATCCTAAGTGGAATGATATTCCATAAAAAGCCCTCAGTATTCATTTTAATGATGTTAAGAGCTGAAGGGGAGTGTCAATGCACTCTCAGCCTCTTAGCAACAAGAAGATTTCACGAGCAATGGCCTCAGGTGGGCTCAACTAGTTTGATGGGCTACTGGAGAATGCATCTGAACTGCATGTCAGGCAACGTGATAATATCCAAAACCGTACTGCAATTTTTAAATCAAAAATGTACTTTTAAAAATATTTTTGGGCCAGGATGTCTCTCAAGGAGCTGTGTGCCTATGAAACACCATCCGTTGCCGAAATGCAGAACTTCCTGTTGGCTGACAGACGGCCCACTGGACATGTCAACCAAGTGTGGCCTAATGTGTACATTGGCAATGAGTATGTATTATGTTTTCTGTTCAAATGGAAATTGAATGAAAATGTACAGAACTACAGATGTTCGCTGTGTTTGTGTTTTCTCAGGGTTGCGGCACGAGACAAGTCAATGTTGTATAATATGAGGATCACACACATTGTGAATGCTGCTAGTGGACCCCCTCATGTCAACACTGGAGCCCGCTTTTACAGAGACATGGATATTGATTACTATGGAGTGGAGGCTGATGATTCCACAGATTTCATCATTAGTGTGTTTTTCTATCCCACAGCAAGGTTTATACGAGCTGCGTTGTCAAAAAACGGTGAGTTAAATTGGAGGAAACATTCTCATGAACATTCTTAATGCAATATTCAATAACATATCACCGGCAAGTCTGTAACTATGTGCAATATAAAAAATCATTACCTTGCTTTGCCCTACTTGGGGAATGCTTCATTTTCCCACCTAAGTCGCGCACTACGACTACTACAACCCAGCAAATGTGGCCCTTTTTAGTTTAAAAATGACATGTTTCCATGTTCCTCTGTTTTTATTTCCACTTTACAACTTCTTTTTCGAATAGTTGTTAAAATCGGCGGTGCAAATACAATCCCCAGATTGTACATTGCATTCAGAAATGACAAATGTACAAATGAAAATGTAATTCATTTTTTAATTTTCAGCTCTTTTATTTATTTTTGTGCTTTGGCTAATTAGGTCATTAGAAACAATTACCTATCACTCTCCCTTTTCATTATGTGAATGTTTATTAAAATTCATTATATTAAAACTGTACCTACAGTTGATTATAAAACTGACTTGACCTGAGATCAAGTTTGAACAGTATGACCTTAAAAAAAAACATCATGTCTAATGGCACTGAAGCATTCTTTTGGCTATAGCCTACTAAGAGGCATTTGCACTGTAAAAATGTCATGCAATTCTGTTCTGTTCTTCAGGAAGAGTATTTGTCCATTGTCTGATGGGAGTGAGCCGCTCTGCCACCCTGGTGTTGGCCTTCCTCATGATCTATGAGGATCTGACTCTAATGGAGGCCATTAAAGCTGTACGGCAACACAGGGACATCTGTCCTAATCCTGGCTTTCTTAACCAGCTTCGACATCTTGACATGAGCCTCGTCCGAGAGAGGAAGAAAAAACTGGAAGCTTACAAATTGTAACTGAAATCTTGGTAACAATGTGATGAATCCCATTTCAAGCACACATCCCTTAAGGGCCTCCTGCCCCGTGGCCTTGACCCAGTTCTATTGGGCCAGATCTTATTTGCTAATATCCATTGTAGTGCAATGGCAAAGTGGGTATCAGAAGGCAAAATTGAAGGGTTTCCCCATAAATAGTGAATAACCTCCAAAGGGCAGCAGGGTCACAAAATAAATGGCAGGTTTTTTAATTTCTTCCAGATGAGTTATACTTTGAACTTGTCTCGAAATGAGCCAGCAAGCATGTTTTTTTTTTTACTGGAGTGAAATGAAACGTTGTGGCTTGCTCTTTATCATGGGAAGGTTGAGGAGCCATGCATGGCAACATGACTTAAGGGTCGGTCCCCTGTAGTGAGTTTCTAATGGGTATCATATGCTTCAACATATTTATGGTTTCTGGTCAAATCCACTGTGTTGTAAGCCACAGAATTTTTATGAAATTGATGACCAAACAACAATGTGATAATAAAAGAATTGAAATGTCTCAGTTCAGTGGAACAGACCAAAAATGTCACATTGTTCCCTCTGAAATATATCTTTTCTTGTTGACAATGGAAATAAATGACATAGTACAGAATTATGGAATTGTGTATTTTGTTTTGAAAGAGGACATCTGTTA